ATGGCTCAGTGGAATAAGCGCTTCCCTGGCAAGCGCAAGGGCCTGAGTTCAATCCCCAGTTCCGCCAAAAAAAAAAAAAAAAAAAAAAAAAAAAAAGCCAGGGAAATTTAGGAACTCAGTGAAACTCAAAATAATAAATACAGAAATAGGGTCTTGGGCTGTAGCTCCATACTAAGGTCCTGGATTCAACCCCTAGTACCACAAAACAAAGCAAAACAAAAACAAAACCCTCAGGAACAGATTTCTATTTCCATGAATATACATTACTAGACATAATAATCAATTTATTTTTCCTCACTTCATGTTTTAAAGTTTTGAGATTAAATTGACCTACAAGAAACTGCACAATTCAATACAATCAAATATTTTTATTTTATACACACCCATGAAGCCATCATCACAACTGAGATAATTTATCACCTCTGTAAGTTTGTTCATCCATGTATAATTGACTTAAAAATCATTGATCTGCTATCTGTTGTAATATATTCATTTTTCTAGTTTTTTTTTATAAACACAGTTATACAGTATAAACTTTTTCTTAAAGAGGCCTGGTTTTTATAATATAGTACAATCAGAGATTCACCCATATATTTTTAACATTTTACACACATCTTTCTTAAGCAAAATGTTGTCCAGAAACCAATAACAAGCATCTCTTGGGAGTCTGTTAAAAATGCAGAAATCTCAGACCTCACCTCAAACCTAATGAATATAAATGCATTATTTTTTAAAGAGATCCCCAGGTGATACATGTGGACAAAAATATCTGAGAGCTGGACCTGTTAATCCCAACACTCTAGAGAGTGAGGCAGCAGGATCACCGTAAGTTCTAGGCCAGCATGCATTACAATTACATTGTGAGTACAAGGCTAGCCTGAACTACATACCAAGACACTGCCTTTAAAATAAACCCTTGAGGGGCCAGGGAGATGGCTCAGTGGAATAAGCGCTTCCCTGGCAAGCACAAGGGCCTGAGTTCAATCCCCGGTTCCGCAAAAAATAAATATAAATAAATAAATAAAATCCTTGAGATGTACTACTTTACACCGTACTCTTGCATTTAAATGTCAAACAATCCTTTCCCCAGGTGTGGAGATTATAACCAAATTCAGTGTAACAAGCTTTAAAATCAAGAAGCTTTCACAACATTCAAAAAATTCATTGAAACCTGTTGAAAAAATAGTAAGTTTGAACAGCAAGCACTGAGACACCCATAATTTACCGAAAAGACACTTCATATAGGACTGTGATAGAACCTTCAGTTTACTGAAAAAAAAGTTCCAATACCTCAATGTACAAAGATACCGTCTAAAAGTTGTGTTACTTAAAATTATTAGTGACTTGATTAGCCAACCTGTCAACACAATGTGTCGTGAACAGCAGTAGATGCCGCGACTCTTCTCTGCAATTCAGTCTGACTGGCTGAAGTCCATGCGCACTTAACAACACTCATTTTTAAATATTAATAGAGCAAAGGTTTCATGAATTACTGTGCAAGAAAATGGTATGTGTAGGGCCGGGAGGTGGCTCAGGGGAATAAGCGCTTCCCTGCAAGCGCAAGGGCCTGACTTCAATCCCCAGTTCCGCAAATAAAAAAAAAAAAATGGCATATGTATGTAACAAAATGACAATGAGAAAACAATGTTTTAAGATTTGGGGTTTTGCTGAGGGGGGGAGAAGTGGGGAAAGACAGACTTAACTTTTCAAGTACAAAACAACTTATACTGGGGAGAAGTCCAGAAACCTGTTAGCTACTGAGAAGCCAGGTAAAAATGAAGTATTTGCTGAGAGAAGGGGAAACTGATATAATGTAGGTACTAAAAACAAAAATTTTCCACCTGCGATATTACCAATTATCCTTCCCCCAGGTATGAATTGTACTTACAGACTCAAACATTTGTCGATTCTCCTTCATATATGAGACACAAGCCTTCCTAATTTGCAAATGATGGACCTGGCTGCCAAATAACTAAAAAAGAAAAGATTAGTTTACTGTCAAGTTAGTTGAAACAGAAGATTCTAAGACTATGAAATGACCAATGAAACCTCCCTTATTTAGAACATATGTACGAAATAGGGAAATTGAGGCATCTTACTAAAAAAACACTTGACTTTAGTGAAGGAGGGTATGGTAATTCTGTAATGCCCCTTCCCTTCTCTAAATTACATAGGATGTAAGTTTTCTTCAGGCATAAAACTTGAAAGAAGCAGGGGTTGCTTCCACAGGTTCGAGATACATTTCAGTATTTTCTTTAACCCCAGCATCCTATCCCTTCTATATTACAAATAGACATTTATGAAACAGGAAAGACTGCAACATATTTGTATTAAAGAGTGGACACAACACATCTTTGTATTGTCTGCATTAGGAAGTAGCACACAGCTAATTTTACAGATAGATCTGGACGTTTTCACTAAGAAACAGAAAAGGCACTTATAGGAACAAATGCTGAAAACTAAGTATAGGTAAGATTATTTTTTTCCTATTACCTGCTCTGCAACAACCCGAAAAAGGCTAGAGGCATCCTTAGCAGTCAGCTTTCGAAACAGCCCTAAACTGCTTAAATATTCATCCATTGAAGCCTCACTGAAAAACTTCTGGACACCGTACTTTTTCCATCCTTTATGCATTTTGTATGGAGTTGAGGGGAGAGAGAAGCAACAGAAGTGTGACAAGAGGAAAGCAGCAGGGTGCAGAGAGCAGTCAGGGGCAGGGAAGAGGGCTTGCGTTTGCAGGTCTCCGGAAAGCAGCTCAAAGTTTAAGCAGAAGGCAGCTGCAGTCAGCACAGCAGAATCTCGGCACTTCCCAAGAGCAGGAGAAGCAAGGGGTGGCACTTGTCCAGCACAAGTCAGGATCCTGCAGAAAAAAAAAAAAAGAGCCAATGCTCCTAGGAATGGAGAACTGCAGAATGAAACGCAAGAACATACGCTTTCAAAGGGTGGGATTAAACCAATCAGCTCAAGGTTCAGAAAATTATGTATACACAAACAGCTGTGATTCAGGAGCAGAAAGAAACCAAGCTTGCAGCTTAACTCAGGTCACCTGCTCCTAAACCAACTATAATAAGGCTCAGGTGTATAGGATGCAGCACAGTACGTATTACCTGAATTTTCAAACAATCTGTGCCCAAATTTCCTGCTCCCTTCATAGTTGCAGGGAGGAAGAGAAGCAGAAAAAAAGAGGGGGAGACAGGGAGAGGGGGAGAAAGGGA